TCTTCAACAGCATGTCCCAAATTTCTGACGCCATTTGGCAGAAGGTTGATTTAAACCGCGAACCAGCCATTTTTTGTCAGTTTACCGGGGACTCAATCGTCGGAAATTTTCGAGAGATTCCATCCAGAGTGACCTTAAAACTTTGTGCACATCTGAAGCTATTAACCATACTGAGATTTATCAAAAACGTTCCGTGGCCAAACTGCATCCTTATTTGCCTATTGTATGGATAAACCATCAACTTGAAAAATGCTTGTATGAATCAATTCTGCAGGAAGAGATATCGCACAAGAACACAGTAGTCACTCGTGAATTGGGTGCCGCCTACCTTGTTGTGGAACCAGCTCCGGATGCTCCTCACGCAGGTGCCGCAAAATTTTCGTAAGCTTCATCTGAATAGAAAACGCATGCATTCATGGTTGAATGAAATTTGGTGATTCGTATCTAATGCCAACATCCTCGTTGGTAATAACAAGGCATCAGCTTGACTGAGTTTTCCTACGGAAATACCTAACTCTCATCTGGTGTAACAAGAATTTAAAATGATATCATTCAAATTCACGTTTGCTATGATCTTTAATGGACATATGTTTTTAGCTGTATTAATGATTGGTACAGCTGCGGAAGTCATGCAAAACGGGAAATATTTTCAAAAACAGCATGCAAGGCACCCGTTTTACAATTCCTTAAAACCTACTGAAGGTGTACTCACAAAAAACCGCTGTAAAAGGTGGTGAACAACATTTAAAAGTTTGTATCCGCCCCGTTTCTACAAAAAAGCGACAAGCACAGGATCTTCGGGGATAATGAAAATAAAATACGGATATCACATTCCATTTAAAAAAATCCGAGTGTCAACTTTGGCTCCGAATTTATACTGAGAATCTATCTCTCTAATTTCTAGCAGACATTCAGTTCACTTTAAGCTTTGGATGGCGAAGAGTACGAGCGGGAGCAGCTCAAGGATAGCGAAATCTTCAAGCCAATTTTATCCGCTTAACTAAGAGGCCCGCTCCGGAATCTGACACAGGCAGACCCACTAGCGTGTTCACCAAATAAGATCTAACAAGGTGGAAGCTGTCCGGATAGTGGTTGTGCGCGCATTTGCGCTCTTAAATAGACCTAATATTTCAGCACGTAGAGGTGAAGTGTGCCGTCTGCTTAGCAGACGGACAGTTCGGTGAAGCGGCCAATAAGAAGTTGTATGAGAACGGACTTAAGACGCAAACCAACATAAGAGATTGCACATGGGCAGACTTACCTTGAATATTTCGGGGACATATTCTTCTTGGCCCTGAAAAAAATGAGCCATTTCATACATTTAACAAAGCTTCACGTCATCAGTAGTTGGGTAATCATAGGGGTCATTTGTGAATCCACAAAACAGACTCCATAAAGGACAATTTTTTTCGTCATTAAGTCACATTTTGAATGCGTTTCCTTTGCCCCTGGACAGATTGAACCGTATGTCTTGTAAATTCATGCACGCTAAAACTAAGATTCAGTTCCTGGATTGATTCCCTCATCTTAAATCATAGCACCGTTCTTTTTCGACGTTGAAAAGCCTTCATTTAGCACTGACTTTTGACCACAATATTCGTCATCCAAGGACAAATCCAGATCACATGATGCGAAATGCTGGAATGTAAAACCGTCACACTATGCACAACCTGAATATGCTTTTATCGCGATGAAGTTTGGTCGGCCGCGGTCAAATAGAATTGAGATGTGACTGCAATCTAGAACGGTGTGACTTCGACTCCACCTACATTTTTGCCACGTGGGTGGTTTTACTAATTTCTTTCGATTTATCAATTTATCAACCATAAACCGTGTACCATAGGCACACCGGTTCCAGGTGCTGCACTTTGGACCACCAGAAAACGGGAGTGTGGAATATACAGCCAAGTCTTGGAAATGATGACATGTTCACTTCGTTCGAAAATTTGGTAGCTACGCAGTGATTATGATGGCCTTGAAGCACGAGCACCAGCGGCTACGCGATTTGGGCATTTCTGCCATTGGTGATTCGATTCCCTGAGTCCCTATTCAGATAGACCGCAGCTGCCGGCCTGGCTATGTTAACTGCTCCGCTAACATTCATTACGACTAAAGGGACGTGAGAAACAGTCCTGTACAACGGAGATCATGTCCGCGCATTTTGTGAGATGCAGACTTCCATTGATTGTGAAATAAATGAGCCGATCAATAATTTCCTTAAACAATTGTATCGGTACGCTCGCGAAATACAGTTATAATTATTGGAGTATAAAGTGAATGAACCACGCTTAGAGACAACGGAGGGAACCCTAAAAACTTATATGTTTGATCGATTCAATGTTTTAAGCACAGTACTTGGTCAGCGACTTGTGTTTACGGTCTGAGTTTCTTAACAATTTGTCTTGACGTAGGTTTTAAAATATTGAATGATGTACATAGTTACAAAAAGCTAAGGCAATATAATAAGGTAAATTCCAATCAGTTTCATCATTTTAGTACATTTTCATACAGTTTTCGCACACACACAATTTTCTCACAATACATCTAAAATGTCGGTTTCTGAAAGCCTTTAGGTTGAGCAAAATACATTGGACATGGAAGGCATTCGTTTCTTGAGCTTCCACAATCACTCTGAGGCAACCGCAACTTCAAAGACACTCAGGCTATGCGCACAGAAACTGATATTGCATCAGACGACAACCGTACCACTCAACGTCTTGCCAAATCAAGTAGAATTACGATGGCATCATCCTGAAAGACTGACGACAACTATCTTTTTTTCCTATTTCGGCCTGGCTCTTCTGAAGAAGACATAAGTTCCAACATTTGGCTTATCCATACACAGTACAGAATGAAGTGCAAGGGATAATGCGAGATGTGTCCTTGGGTAATGTGATGCAATCAGTCGATTACAAGTAAATCAGGTCAATTGTGGTTCGCCTTGAGCATGCTGTCACTCCAACAAACTAAATCACTAAGGTTTTTGTTCTTCATCATGAATAGAGTGAGAAATCGTCCTTCTTTGATATTTATTCCGCTCCCTGAATAGATCAAGTATCCTGTATATTTTTTCAAGCTGTAAAGTCGGATACAACACCAAAAATGCTGGACAGCCATAATGGCAAAACGATGCCCGAGTTTCAAGCGTTCTTGTGATCACGCTGCTCACCTTCATCGGTTCTTCCGAAAGGAACACGCCCAAACGTATTAGCTGAGACAAGGTCTCCAAAAACCGCTTTTCATCTGACTCACTGGAATCGTACTGATTCAGGCTGACGGGTTCCATATCAAATGGCAACACTTCATAAGTGCGGTAGATTCGATGTACCAGGTTGTCCTTTACAAATAAAATACGATTGTGTATGAGAGGGGCCAGTGTTGGACGTTCCGATATCTCTTCCATTGTTGCTTCGTCGAAACAGGTGAACCTTCGAGGTTCCTCATCTTCCGGCAAGTCTTTATTCAGAGCCTCCGTATAATGAGCAATGTAGCAGTTAATTATCCGTTCTGACTCATTCAGCGCGCGCAGAATGCGCATCATTGTTCTAAAACTGGTCTACTTGGAGAATGGGTTATGTCTGGTGCACCAATCACTTACTTCAATTATGTTAACCACGTGATACGGATAGATCAACAAAAGGCCAGTGATTTGATCTGGTGGCTTGAATTGCATTAGCAGCCCTTCAAAATAGGCTTTGAAGAAATGGTTGTTAAAAGATTGAATAACCATACCTGCGACTTCTCGACGGTCAGCGACGTGCGGCGATACTTTCCCAACCAGAACAATGGAATAGAGAATGTTTGTCTATAGGCGAGAATATTGATTGAAAAAATGATAATTATGGCCTAAATAACACGGACTGAAATAAAGGTGAGTAAATACTCACATGACAACGCACTGATAACATTAGCCGAGTGCATTTCAGCCAAAAACCCTGCATCTCAGAGGTCAATTAAACTCACATCAGAAATGGTAATTAGATAAAGTCTTCATTAGAGTGAAATGTGTCCAAATAGCTTAAATTTTCTTAGTTTAATAGGCCCGTATAACCAAATCGGTAATCGCGTTTTTAGGGAATTTGTTCTGCAGTTGTACAACCCACGTGCCGTCTTCCAAGGAAGAATGAAAGTTGCATTAACCCCGTGCCGAAATATCATTAGTAACAGCGCAATACAGAGCGAATGGCAATATTAGCAAGAAATCCAGATAAAATCGCACAGCGGGCACTCTTCTAGGAACCTTTCATTTGGGTCTGGCATTTCTGGCTGCATCATAGGTAACAAGGTAGCTGAGTTGGCTATTTTCGGTAGACAAACCGCTGATACACCAGCCAGAAGGCCCGTTCTATCATTTTCAAAAACAACTTGACAGGTAAAAATCTGGATTTCTCAAAGACGAAGAACAAAGTTTTTCAACAATCATTGACACGCAGTCCTAGTGACATTTTGCACAAAATTCTGAAGACTCTAGCACAAGGCTGAACCATTTTGATGCGCAATGCATTCTCATTCCGAAGGCTTGATGCCGGTCATGTTATGTTCTGGAGCAAATGGATTGGGTTGAGGTATTCCGTTGCAAGCCGCAGGGACTAACGACAGGTTGAATAATTCAACGAACGGGCTAATTAATGCACCAAGTAACCGAATTAATGAAAGGATAAATATTAGTTAAGTTAGTGAGGTGAATGTATTAAAGCAAGGTTGACAATCGACGAAAAGTGGGCAACAGTTACAGAGTGGCATAATTTTTTCTCACCGAATATAGCACTTAAGCACAGCAGCTCTTTATGGTAAAAAGGGCTCCGTCGTTCACACATTCCCCAGTAAGACTTGAAGAAAATTCACTTGTGTTAATCGTCTATCGGATGGTTTTTCGAGCTTCAGCTTCTTGCTTCCCGCATTGCTTCATATGTTCGAGGCCGGGCTAAGTACATAGGCTAGATGAAATTTTGTTGTAGATACTGCAGGCGGAGTATAGAACATTGGCTCCAACATCAGATCTGATAAAAGTTTGACAACTTAAAGATTCTGGCTAAGAGAGGTGACATATTCGGTCCTTGCTGGGTTACCTTCGGTGCTTTAATACGTAGAATTTAGTTGTTTCCATAGTCAAGAGGTTTTTCTTTGGGTGGTAAGGGCTACTGTAAAGCTGAGAAGTTGGAACGAATTTCCTGTGCAGCCTTCAAAATTCAGAAGTTAGCTGACATATGTTGCATAGTGTTGAGAGGTTAAAGAGTCTTTCGCCCAATATGCCAGTTCCAGCCCATGCTTGTTCAGCCAAATCTTTTGCCCATATTCCAGTTCCAGCCCATGCTTGTTCAGCCAAGTCTCAATTATATGAGTGGCATCAAATACACGTCTATATCACCCTTCCGGCACGCAACTTTGAGTTGAGCTTCAATCATATTCACAATTATAATGTTCTCTCTATGTGATGTGGAATATTAAACTATTGTTTTAACGGTGGGAGAAAATAATCCGGGAGTTTCTTCGAAGTTGTTCTGATTAGATCTTAGATGACATTCTCCGAGCAGTTTGTAAATACATCAAAAATTATGAAACCGAGGTGCTCGGAGGGGTCTATAAAGACAAGAGAGGTCGTGTAAAACCCTGTATTGTAGTGGCGAATATCCTTATAAGGTTCCGCTCACCTATACGACAATTGCAATTTCTTCTCAGCGACAGTAATTTCATCGCAGATTTTCCCTTGTAGATGATCTTTTGTACATAGCTGTGAATGATTTAATACAGGATTTTTATCCATCTTGTCAGGCAATTACTTTGTTTTCCTATTTGAGAGTAAGATTTAGAAATCAGCCGTACTTGTCACAACTGATTCAAATCGGTGAGGTTGCATGAGTAAACCATGTGTAGCCCTTTATCAGCTGAGTCTTGAAACTTGTAACGTATAGCAAATGCACTGGCGAGGAAAGAAAGTCTGGGATTTTTCATTGTGAGTATGTCCAAGTAGCGGTAGAGCATCGCGGCCTGTGGCTTCTGGATAAATCTTCATATATATTAAGGCCTAGTTTTTGGTGGTCACCCAACCGTCTAAGACAGTTAGCCTTGAAAAACCCATCCGATTTGGTGGATGCACACTATTTTGTTCGTCCAACGCATATAGCGGAGTAAAAGAGCTTACAGATAGCTAATGTTCTAGGTGAATGAACGACAAAGGGAACCGCAAAATTGAGCAAAAATACTTCTTGGCCGATTTTGGCGAACGTTTTCTAAGGCTGAATGACTTCGACCGATGCCCTAAGGTGCTGTACGCCAACTTTCACGGCTGTGTCAAAGAAGCCCTCGCACAAGTTCACCACATTGAGTGGTGTACGACAGGGCTGTTCCTCTTCAACTTCGTCATTGATGTGATCATGGAAGACTTACTAGTAGCCTCCATGCCTGTGGGGTCGAAGTGCTCCCTGGACCTACGCTTCAAGATACTGAGTACACAGACGATATCATTCTTTTGGCATCTGACCCCATGGTAATACAAACAATATTAAATAATCCAAATAATTCTGCCTCACGGTTCGGCATACACTTCACACCTGCAAATGTAAAGTGCTACTGCAAGACTGGGTGGACTAGAACTCTAGCCTCATGCTTACGGATGAACCGATCGAGGTAGTGGAAAAATTTGGCTGCCTAGGCAGCTGTATCAGTCCTGGTGGTCTTGCAAAAAATGGTATTTTTATCTGGATTGTAAGGGTCAGAGCAAGTTTTGTGAATCTACGTCATATGAAGCGTAGGCATGACATCAACTTATCCGACAAGGCCGCGTTTACAATGCTGCGGTGCGCTCCATACGGATCAGAAACCTGGCCGCTGCGCGCCGACTTTCAGTGTTTGACCATCGATGTCTTCGGAGGATTGCCCGAGTCTGGTGAGAACACCGCATCAGCAATCTTGAAGTACGTCGAATGGTATTCGGGAGAAATAACTCACCCGCGAAAGATCATCTGATCACACTGCATAGGTTGAGCTGATCTGACCACGTGCTGCTTATGCCGGTCAACCGGATTGCTGGAAGGGTACTTTTTGCACAACCACGGCAGAAGAGAGCCAGAGGCGGTTAGACAATAACTAGGCAGCAAAATATAAAAGCCACTACCGGCAAACTCAGCTACGTTGGTCACTGCCGTCTCCCTGGATACGGACCCCAAACCGGGCCCCATCAATGGTTGGAGACATCAGATATGGTCCAGTCGCGCCCGCAGCGGCGCTCGTGCATACAAGCTATTGATTTCATTTCATTTCTCCCTTCCCGAATCACCCGTTTAAAAGTTCGCAGACAGTGTTGTATTTGCGCGCTAATTTATTAGCTTGCCTCCAATGCGCAGATACCTAACTCACCTCCACAAATCATCGATGAACCAAACTGTGGCACCTACAACCACTGCACGACAAGTACGCAGTTATTATAGCTGACTATGACTTTAACAACCGAAGATTAAGCTTCCACAACTGCCTCTGAACTTGTAGACACTGATAAGAACACCTCGATCTGACTTGTATCAGCCTACAGCAAGCTTTGCCTTTCTTGTAGGCCTTTACGGGTGGTTTTCTAACCACGGGGACGTACATAACCGATAAAGTGAAGGAATTTGAGGAGCTCATGTGCCTGGCGGTTCTCATTTCCGGCTTTCGTCACAGTGTTATCTTAGATCCAATTATTATGAAAAACCGGTACACTACTTTGCTGCACGAATGAAATACACCCCAATTTCTACAAAGTTTATGATAACTGGTAGATTAAGGGACATAACTGCCGGACAAAGATAGCGTTTCTAATATACGTGACTTATTTTACGAACTGAGTGGGGCATTCGTCAGGCAACTTGTGTTTCCACTTGGACATGTCAATCTAAAGTGGCAAACTTGAGGCATCGCATGCCTACATTGGTGTTTGTTCGCTGGTTCACATAGTAGCAATGGGCAAGGTCACGCTGAACCAGTTTTCATCGAACTGCTGACTACAAAAATTTGTTTTGTGTTTTCAAATTCTGTTGTACCCCGGTTTCTGTTCTTCAAATTTCGTTCGTAGTTCGTGAGGAAGGACATTAGATCAGCAGAGTTACTGAAACACCTCCACAAGCGGCCAGACGCTGGATTTGCGGCTATGTGCTGAGATTTGGCTAACATGCCATAATCGCTTAAGCCGGTCCAATGATTCGCACGTCTTATCCTGTGGTAACGAGGGAAGGTTGTAAATATCCAGTTATTTCGCATAAAAACTTTTTTACAACTCGTTAAACGGCCGCTCATTAACTACAATTAGAAACCGTTTTCCCTGGCTATTTAATAAATGATTAACATATGGTTAGACAACTGCCAGACAACTAGATTAGGGGAGCTAGGTTCCGATGCCGTCATTTCACGTTGTAGTATTTCGAAACCCTTATTTTTCCGCCCATTATCATCTCTTTCTCCATGTTATTATTGATCAGATTACTGTATGAAGTTTCATTTAATCGAACACACAGCAAACCCATGTTTCTTGTAGCCAAAGTGACTTAGCCCCTTTTGCTGAGTAACTGCTGTTGCGACTGCTGTTGACTCAGTTTTGAGTCACTTCTTGACCAACAGATAACCACTAAACTGAGCGCCATAGTGCGGTTCTAGCAAATTAGTTAACCAAGCGGTTGGTGCACCAACTCGTCGTTATCCCAAGCGGACTACATTATCAAGCAGAAAGGAAAAAATCCTATACATGAAATTTAGAAATCGTTACCGTACACGACCCATGAACCTCCCTTTTTCCTCGATTGCCTGATAAAGGGTAGCGGCCGCTGGACGAGCTTCAATATCTTCAACATCTAGCAATTTAAAACTTTTGTACAAAGTTAATATAAAATATTTCATCCCAACCTCTTATCCATGGTTCTATTTTTGGTTTATCATTTGAATAGGGGCCAGAGGCTGGTTCAATGGTTATTAAACTGGAGCGCAGTAAAACAAGCACCACTGAGGGCTTGTGCTTGGATTGCATAGAGGAAACAAGTCAAGTGATCAGAGATGCCCACAATCGTGACACTGACAGCAGCTTATGAGACAACAGTGAAATCGGATCAAACTACCTCGCGAACCGGTGATTTGCGCGTAGTTTAACAATTCCTGATCCAGTGAATTCCAGTTTCCCCAAAAATTTAGGAGTTTTAAGTATAAGCGTTGCAATTTTCTGCGTGCATGCCCAGAAAAACATCCTCATTGTGTTCCTTGTTTGCGTTGGAATTCGTTTTACCTTATTTCCCTTCTAAATTGGCGCGCTTTGGAGGCAAAATTCTATTCTCTGGAAAACATTCGCAAGTGGAACATCAAAATATTACAGTTTGTCACATATTTTCTCAGTAAAAAAAACCCAAATTAGTTGTCACCTTTAGCGATTTATTTTAATCTCCTTTCGATATTTTTTGCGCATATTCGACTTTGAACCTGGTGTGGTATGTCTTCTGCTTGGCACCACACACTTTTGGTAATAAGTTTGGGGTTGTGTTTTTTAAATTCATCACGGATTGAGAAGTCCTTAACGCAGTACATGAAGGTAAATATGTGGCATCTGTGAGCTTATCAAATGATCCAACCACCAAAGTTGTTTTGCGCTACAAGTGGGCGTACAACAAATGCAGCAGGCGATCTCCAAGACCGACGAAATGTCGGGAAATCCGAAGAGGCTGGTAAACTGAGTGCGTTTCCTGACAGAAGACAGTACGCGAAGCACGGTTTGTTAATGCAGTTTTGTTTAAGGAAGCAATAGATCAACCGCGCAGTCACCTGTCGTTATCCTGAAGACAACCATAAGTTATCTAAGTTTTTGTACGATCGGCGTCCAGATAATCGACGCCCAACCGAAGACAATTTGACGCCCGCAGTGTCGTGTTGAAGTATAATATGCTGTCGTGTGACGTGCGCAGTTTTTTGGTTGATGAATTCGACTAGTTCGTTACAACTCAGGATAAATACAACTACCTCCGGATGGATCGACCGGCTCCGTTGGCTAGGTTCCGCATAGTTGGGTTTTGTTGTTGCAGTTGATATGGCTCCGATCCCGCAAAATTTCGAGAGTCAGACGCGTGCTCGTGTGGCGGTCGGAGGAAGGTCACTATAGCAACATATGATTCTTTGCTTTTGACGCTTTTCAGGTGTAGCAAATGCTGACATTACGCACGCGACAAACCATCCTTTAAACTACCTAATATCCGGTATAGGCACCGGGCGTCCCGTTACTTACGCTTTCGTGGAGAGCAAACGGTTTACTCCTATGCGTAAACTTTCCGACTTATACGGGGAAACGATTGAGGCCATATCCAGCCGAGAATTTCGTCATGGACAAGTTGGCGGCGCAAATGCAGGCTGTAGAAGTCGTATTCGGCTGCGACGCTATGCTCTGCATCTTTCGAATCAGGCAGCACGCATGCATCATATAATATCCATGTATTGTTGGTCACGGACACACTGCGAACAGTCGCCATATATGCTACCACATGGATTACTTGAACGATGCTGTAGAGTAGGTTTTTTGGTTATCATAATACGAACACAGATTCCGGCAAGATCTTTAAATGCTGCACCGTACGCACCCGCGATTCGCTTCTTGTCTTATGACCCACTGGTTGTATATCACCCGAAATTCGGCCGTATACGCGCGGTCCGGGCGGTTCACTTTGGTTATGTGATCAACAACCGTCTGGTGAATGCCGGTGATCGCCTTAAATACCAGGTGCACCACTCAGACACACTGAAGTATGCCACTGAATAGGTCTTTCAGCACACCGGGTAGCTTGTGAATCCATAGCGTCACTGCGACCGATGGCATATTCCAGACGCTGATAGCTGCGTTCTTAACGTGATCCGGCGAATGACTACATATGAAAATTCTCCCGATTTTAGGCACTTGGGGCAGCAACTGCCAGGACTGTATTATGGCAGTGCTGGAACAAACAAGGACAGGGCAGTCTACTTTAACTGACTAATAATTCGTCGTGCAAACACCCAGGTGCTTCTAGATGGTGACATCTGCGCTGGAGGACACCCATACCCCTTCCGACAAACTATGTGGCCCCCCTACATCCACTTTTTCTCTGTATTTAAAGACCAGTAGGTTCAAACATTCAAAACTATTCTTCATAGATTTTTCTTAGCTTGTTTCCCAATCCATCAAAGATGGACGTCGGATTACAAACTTTCTGGAAAAATTATACCCGGTACCTTTTTCTTAAACCAAACCCAACAGCTTTGGACGGACAGCGTAAACAATTAAACCGAGTGCTGGATAAGCTTTGTGGGCTGGAACCTAGGAGATCTAGGCCCTCATAAGATAATTGATTGTTCAGGGGCAAATCATGCTTCGTCAAAGTTCAAAGTCTGCAACTTACGGCCTGTCGACGCTGGTCCAGGATGTCGTACCTCAGCCCAGAGAGGGGTGTAGGGCGCAGACTTGAGCTTTTGTGTGCTCTCTAGCCAGCCGACTATTACCAGTGACCACTGGGGTGCAACGGATCGCGAAACAGACCACGTAGAATTTTGTTCTAGTGAGCCTTGCCCGATGTAGGGTGATGCTTTTCAGGTTTGCCTCAAAGGGGAGTCCGCAGAAGGGTAATTAACTTTTGGTGCTTAGCCCTCGGTCTGTCCAGAAAACGAAAACGTGTGCTTGATGCCCGGGCCGCAAAGAGGTTATTTTATCATGCTGACCTTCACCGAAGCGCAGAATCTTAGCAGAGTGCGTCCCTGAAATACGTGTGTGTCCGTCTTCTCGTGTCCAAGGAGGGACTACTCGACAACCGTGAGTAAATATCTGGCTACTGCGATTAACTCCGTACGGTACCAGCTAGATGAAAGAGACGGAGGTGGTTCAATGTGACTCATTATCCCCAAATATAATGCCTGGTAATGAGACCTCGCACATTTCATGTAAGTCTCATATTCCTTGAGAGATGCAGTAAGTGGGCACGTAGGATATTTACTCATCAAAACAATCAATGCAAATCAACTTTTTGCTGCCTAATTTTGACCCATACCCCGGTAGAGACGGAGTGTCACGCTCCGGTCAGCTGATCAGGCGTCTTGGACATCAAGCCGCATGTTAGTCGCGTTCGTCAGTTAGGTTCGTTCAGCTGTCCGCTATGTAGGACATAGGTTACCTGTGAACAGTTCACAAGCGTCATGGACTTCCCGTCATATTTTGCAATCTATAATTGGACACCCTGCTGTTAAACAACAAACCTGAATGATTGTTTTCGGCGATATAGAACGCGGCATCACAAATATACCTGGTAAAAGCAATTATCTAGCAAGGGTTATCTACATGAATGGCATCTCCACATTTTGTACCCAAAAGATCCATGTAGATTCTTGGATATTCAGCGGATTATTCCAGCTATAAAACTGTCCATTGTTAGTGAGTCACCTGTTTCCGCAGGTCACAGTTACTTCATACATTAGACAATGTATTCACATTCTGTGGCGTTTATTGGCCTTGAACATCCACCTAATCTAATTAAACAAATCGTCAATGTGGATAAGTTGGATAACAATTCATTTTACAAAGACACCGTACCCCGAGAACGTCGTAGCTTTCGGGACGTCAGTTACATTGTGCGAATACTGGGCAGCTTCTAAACATTTAGTGCGTGTTCTATTTTGAAGTTGCCGCGCTATCATTTCGGATATGGCCCCAGGTTAGCTTGCTAATAAGTTGGCTGCTGTTCGGCTTTCACCCTTCACAGCATTTGAGAAGGGTTTGAATTTATGCGTGTAGAGTAAATATATGGTATTTGCCGTGCAGCGTGTGTTCAAAGCACAAGTGGTGTTTGGCATCACTAGCGGATGTACTATGATTGTGGTAGGTGGATAACTTACACAACAGGGAGTCGGGGGACCCGGACGGGACATTCGCTCAAGTGCATTTCCTGATAACAAGCAGCACACAAATAACAACCTGTTTAGTAAGATTTGTTCGAGCAGACGCAGTAACCATGTAGAAGTCATCCTTTTTATTTGGAACATTTCATAATGTTTCCAAATTACTATTCACTCAACTTTCAGTAAACCTCTTGCTAATCGAAGAGGAGTTAGGCAACTGAAGTATAGAACACCATCATATGAATTGCGGTAGTTTGCAGCCTGTGAATTCGGCAAGGTTCTTACAACTCAGCACATATACAAATGCTGTTGGCCCGCAAAAATAAATTTCAAGGTCATGAGTTGTACAAACGTTTTTCTGGATTCTAGCCCATCCATAGGCCTTTGCATATTTTATACTACATAGCCATTTATTTACAATGGTCCGCAAGTACCTGCAATCACAAAAACCAACGGCATTCCATTTTTGATTAGACTTAGCATCATCCGTGTCAGTCTTCATTTTGTTGAACACGTTTAGCCCCACTCCACACGACCATTTCTGTCGACGTGCTGCCACTGTCCCGCGCCTCCACAATCATGTCTAAATTGCCAGCTCACGTAAATGGCTAAGACTTACTGGGACTAGGAGTTTTCCTACTACTCTACAGTTCTCTTATATTCATTCTCCAAACCAAATTTTCCTCAACCAATATCGAAGTCACAAATTATGACAACACGCACACCTTCCTCTACAACATGGTTGCTAGACCCAGGATGCCCACAATCTTTCTCCACAAGGTCCAAAGAAGTGCCTCAGAGCCAGAAGACATTTTGAGGCCGGTGAAAATGGCGATCCAGGTAACCTCAGATCAGTAGTACTGAGTGACGTCTGTTTGCTACCTCAGCCCATCAGCACTCTTCCCTCATCGCTAGTAGTATGATTTCGGATTCTGAAAGTCCTAGAAAATCCCAGAGCCTATCTGCACAAGATAGAA